TCCCTCCTTAATTTCAAGTGCATAAAAGAAGCTGCAAAACTATTGATCTCAGCAGCATCTGAGCTCTTGTTCCTGGGTATGTGCTGTCAGTTTGGTGCAAATAAATTCTTAAAAAACCTAATTACAAGTTTGGATATTTCTTATGTTGACATAGTAAATATGAGGTCTGTCCAGAAAAAGTCCAGCCACTGTTAATACAACAAGGACTGTTTGCGAGATATTGATGTAACCTGGCAGCCAGGGAGAGTGGACTGGAATGCACATTTGTGGACACGGACAACTTCACTGTACTAGTCAGTGGGGGTGGTAGATGGAATTGAGTGAGCATGTGTACTGCGTGGTTTTTGCATTCAAAATGACTAAGCGAGTGAGAGCAATGAGTCTGCATCAAATTTTGCATTAATCTTGAACATTCCTCCACAGAAACTATTCAGATGATTCAGAAGGTCGCAGCTATGGGCAACTGGTGATTGGCAGCTTCATCACAACAATGTAGTCCACTCATGCATCACATCTCACGCAGAGTTTTTGGTGAAACATCAAATCGCCCAGAGGACTCAATGCCCTTACAGCCCAGAATTGGCACCCTGTGACTTCTCAATTTTCCCAAAACTAAAATCACTTTTGAAAGGGCAGAGATTTCAGGCTATTGATGAGATTCAGGAAAATATTATGGGGCAGCTGATGGCGACTGGGAGAATTGTGTGAGGTCCCTACTCACACAGGTGCCTACTTTGAAGTGGACTGAGGTGTCACTGTTATATGTACAATGTTTCTTGTATCTTCTTCAATAAATATCTCCATTTTTCATATTACATGGCTGGATACTTTCTGGGCAGACGTTGTACTTTAGGTTTTACAGGCAAGATGGTCTCTGTTGCACTTCTCAACACTGCCATTGTAGCATGAAAACAAACAGACAATAGGTTAATCTATGTGCATGGCTGAGTTCTAATAAAATTTTCATTATCAAAAAAATTAGTGGGCTGGATTTGGCCTATGGAACCTGTTTGCCAACCCTTACAATAGGCAATTGAAATAGAAATTGGCACCTGGAAATGGAGTGCTTCCATAACAAAAACCTAAAACAGAGCATTGACTTTGCAACCGGAAAGCTTACAGAGTCCTTAACAGTAGTAAGGAGATTGAAAATGCAACAAAGAAATTGTTACTGGAGGTTATTAGAGACTTAAATCACATAAAGGCAACATGGATGATACAAAATGTATCCAATGAACTTGTGGTCTTGCTCTGGAGATTTCTAGGCAAAATGTTCAAAGTTCCAACCGATTGGCTTTAGCTGCCTATAAAAAAGTTCAGGAAGAAGAAACTTCTGTTTCAAGCAGAATTTAGGGGACCTACAGAGGGCGCAGGACAGTCCCTACAGCCAGAAAAAACATTAGTCAAAGTAAATTAAAACCTAGAAGAAAAGCTTAATTCCAGGATATTCCCAGGAAAATATGACCTAATACCCAATACCCGACGGATACCCTCTTTACCCTGCTTGGGCTCCTATACCTGTGCTGGACTGCTATGCAGCCCACCCTTCACTCCACCTTCTCCTCTTCACTGGTTGAGCTTTTACACACTGTCTATACTGTTTGGACCAAAGTGGAACCAAATAGATCATTGAAATAACAGTCTACCATGTACCCAGCATTATGCTGTGCTCTTCTGGTCTACTAGGGTGAAACAGAAATATAAACTGACAGGGGCAGACGAGGGTGCTATGAAAGGGCAAAGGAAATGCCACTAACCAGTTGAAGGCAGCCTGCAGAGAGAAGCAAGGAGCTGGGTGAGACTGGGCAGGTCAGCATGGGACAGGGAAACTACCAAATCCAGATCCCAACTTCTGGCCAGTCAGCACGGCAACTTCCCCCTCCAAGTGTCTCCCATTAAGGGGATTGTTTCACCTGAAAAAGATGAGAGTGGAAAGAGCTGGAGAAGGCTGCCTTGGGTCTGTCTATCTCTCTGTCTAACACTAGTTTATGTTGGACAGCTGGACAATGTTGTCCTGAAGGTTTCTGACCTCCTGGACCTTTCTGAAGAAAGAAATGTACTGATTCTAGGCACCTCTGGACAGGGGCCGGTGAGGCTGGTGTTCATGCTTCAGTGGACTCTGCATGTTCCTGGGAGACAGAGCAAGTGTTGTTTCTTTTCCTCACTTTATAGCCACAGAAAGGGTCCTGGGACAGGTCTGTGACCTCTAATCTCCCCTCAATCCTGTCTCCTGGCCATTACTTAGACATATGAAAGACACATCTCCATTTTCCCACCCCCACATTTTTCAGATGGGGGCTAATCCGATCCATCCTCACTCATTGGCCAGGCATTTTCCTCTAGGCATACGTAGGCCGTTAGGTCAGCCTCATCCTCACCAACTCCCTGGTGAATAATTCTTGACTTTTGTGATCTAAAACAATTTAGCAATAGTTCTTTCCTTCCCCCTTTCGCAGATTATGAAGACAAGCATAAACATTCATTTAACAGGTATTTTAAGAAGTATTTATTCCATGCCAAGGGAGTGCTGGTCCAGTTCTAGGAACTGAGGATACAGTAGGAACTAGAAAGTTCCTGCACTCACAGAGCTGATTTTCTAATGAGCGAGACAGACAACAATAATGATGGGTAATGACATCTGCTTTGAAAAAGAAAATCAAGCAGCTTAAGCAAATTTGGGTGGGCAACTTTTATAAGCGTGGTCTAAGAAGGTCTTTTTCATAAGGTGCCATTTGAGTGATATGAATGAAATATGGGCAAAGAGTATTTCAGGTTAAGTGAACAGCCAGGTACAAAAGACTTGAGGTAAGAATAGGGCAAGTTCAAGGGACAGCAATTAGGCTAGAGTGGCTAACACAGGTAGAAAATGATAAAGGTAGAGAAGAGAGATAACCAAATCAGATAGGGCTTTTATGGATTTTAACTTTGTTCTGAATAAAATGGCATGATCTGATTTATGCTGATAAAGATCCATCTAGATGATGTTTGGAGAACAGACTGGGGAGGGGGCATAGAGGAGGTAGAAGCAGAGTGACCACTTAGGAAGCTACTATATAACCAAAGCCAAGATGATGGTGGCTTTGTTTGAAACAGCAGACTTAGCGAGTGATGAATTCTGATGATTTGAAGGTAGCACTGACAAGACTTGGTGAGGACCTGGAAATGGCATTTGGGAGTAAGAAAGGCACATTGATGACACCTGTTAGGTTTGGGGCTTGGGGTACTGGATGAACAATGGCACCATTCTTTGAGATAGGTGAGAGTGGGAGTGGAGTGTCGATAGCAGGTGTTGGGGGCAAGATGTGTTGAGTTTGAGATGCCAGTATGATAGGCAGTTAAATATTAGTTTGGGGGTCTGGGCCAGGGACAGATATTTTGTAGTCATCAGCAGATAGTTATTATAAATCAACTCTGAGCAATGAGTATAGACAGAAAAGATCATCATGGACTATGGCCTGGGGACTTCAACAACTGGGGAAGAGGAGGAGAAGCCCAGCAAAAAGATACGAGTGGCCAATGAAATGAGGAAGATCAGGAAAAAGCCTGGTGTCCAGGAAACCAAGCGAAGAAAGTGGATTCTGTATGACCACAACCAAATGTCAATTCCTGAGCCTCAGTTTTCTCATCTGTGAAATGGAGAAAGTAGCAACTGCCTGCTTTACAGCGTTGCTGGAAATAAATGATAAAACATGTTAAAGCAGTTAGCTTGTGTCTGACTGGCATATATCGGTGATAAACTTTCAATTTATGTTATCATTCCCCCCATTGCAGTGTTGGCTGCCAGAAGCCTCAGCTTCTCCATCTACACAGATGACAGCACCTCCGTGAGTCCTTCTCGGGGGTGAGGTGTCCCTGCTCATTCAGGCACTAGGTGGGCCTGAGGAGTGGTCTCTGGGTCAAATTTGAATCAAGCCTCTTCAGTGCCTGAACTTCTCACCCACACAGCCTCCAGCCCTTACTTGCAAATCAACAAGAAGTAAGCATGTGGTAAATAGAAGTTTTGGAACCAGAATTCTGTTTCTGCCTCTCAATAGCTGTGTGATCTTACGCAAGCTTCTTAACCTTCCTGAGCTTTGGTCTCTTTATCTGTAAAATTGGGACAATTCCTACTTCACAGGCCTGTGTCTAGGCCCTTTGTAGATTGTTACTAGAACCGGCTGCCCTCCTCCTCCTGCGTCCTGGCGTGGGAGGTGGTGAGGCTCCCGGATCCCCTCCCAAAGCGTATATCCTTGCCGGGTGGGACGCACTGGAAGAGGCACCCTCCCCGACACACCCTAAACCGAGCTGGGCAGGCCTCGGGCATCTCGTCGCCCAGGATACACAGGAGAAGCAGACTCATCCACTTTTCCGCAGGGCGCCGGGCGAGCCGCGTCTCCTCGCCGGGCCCCCACAACCGTGGAGGGGCCTAGGCGGCCTAAGGGAGGGGGCCCGAACGCCCCTGAGAATCCCTCCGGAGCTCTCCCACCTCCCGCCCGGCGTCTAAGCCCGTTTCCCGGACAACCTCTCTCCGCCCATCTTCCAGACCCCCAGACCTAACGCCGCCGCGACCCCCAACCCCTCAAACAACGACCCGCTAGCTCTTTTCCCCGCCCTGTTCTTTGCCACACTTGCCGCCCTCGAGCGCCCCAGGAAGTGGCCGCGCCTCTGCAGGGCGGCTCGGAGGAGGAGGAGACGCAGCGGGCTAGCGACCGAAGCCTCACGAACGAGGCTCGGGAGGACGGCGGGTCGCAGCTGGTGGTCGGGGTCCGAACTCGAACTTCGTGGCAGGGGCTTCTAGTCCTAGGAGCGGCCAGCCGCCCCCTCGGAACAGCTCCGCCCCGCGCCGCTCAACTGCCAAACTCCCCGCCCCCTCACCTCGGCCCCGGGGACCCCGCCCTTGCGCTCTCGCCCCTACACCGCGCTCCTGGCCCCGCCCACAGCGCCGGCCCCGCCCCCGGCCCCGCCCGCGCCCTGGGCCCCCTTCGCGTCGCGCGGCGGCCGCGGGGAGTCTCGGCGTTCCGCTGCTCGCCCTCCGGTGCCGAGTTGCTCGGCTCCCCCCGCCCCCTCCCCCAATCCCCGTGGTCTGGCAGCGCCTGGCCGGCGGCCCGCGGGCGGGCCGCCCTACCCGCTGTAGCCCATCCGCTTCTTAAAGCGGCGGCGGGAAGATGAGGTTCCGGGAGCCTCTCCTGGGCGGCAGTGCCGCGATGCCGGGCGCATCCCTGCAGCGGGCCTGCCGCCTGCTCGTGGCAGTCTGCGCGCTGCACCTTGGCGTCACCCTGCTCTATTACCTGGCCGGCCGCGACCTCAGCCGCCTGCCCTATCTGGTCGGAGTCCCCACACCGCTGCAAGCCGGCTCGAACGGCGCCGATGCCATCAGGCAGCCCTCCGGGGAGCTCCGATCGCGAGGAGCAGCGCCGCCGCCGCCGCCTTTGGACGCCTCCTCCGAACCGCGTCCGGGTCACGATTCCAGCCCAGACGCGGACTCTCGCCCCGGCCCCTCAAGCAACTTGACCTCAGCCCCAGTGTCCCCCATCACAGCACTGTCGCTGCCCGCTTGTCCTGAGGAGTCCCCGCTGCTCGGTAAGGACTCGGGTCGGCGCCAGTCCGAGGACTGGGGCTCTCCCGGATTTCCCCGACAGGGCCCCCCGGACGTTCGCCCATGCCCTCTTCCACGACGGCCAGCCTCCCTATTCCGGGTTCAGAGTCCCTAATCCCTAACAGAGGGTCCAGGCTGGATGGGGGTGAGAGGTTGGGAGATGAGTCCCTGTGGATTCGTGTTGGAAGCCGCTGCGGGAGTGGTATGGGGAAGCCGCAGGCCCCTCTGGCCCCGGAACCCGAGAAGGCCTTGGAGGCTCCCCTGCTCTTGCCCAAGCCTCAGGAAGTTTTGGATTTTAAGTGGTTAGGGCTTGGAGCAGCCTTCGCCCTGCTAACTGTGGTGGGAACCACAGGCAGCTCAGAGTAACCTCCAGTTTGGAGGACAGATGATGAGGCCTCCAGTGGGAAAGGGAGCTGATCTCCCAGTTCACGTCACAGAACCACTTCCAACGGAGTGCGAGTTAACCTTTTTTCCCTGAGATTTTAGGCAAGTGACTTTTCCCTAAACCTCTGGTTCCTTGCCTGTTAAGTGGGGATAATAAAAGGTACTTATTTCAGAAAGTTGTTTTGGAAGATTAGATGAAGCAATGTAAACAAGGGTGTACAGTAATAAGGGTAAACCCTCAGTAAATTGTCACTATTGTGTACAGTCCCTCTTTCATACCCCTGCCCCGGGACCCTCCTCCCTGGCTTTTTGCCCAAAATCTCAGTGAGCTGGGTCCTTCCAGGGGCCGTAGGTGTTTGTGGGAATATAATGTGTGCACCCTAGGGATGGGAGGGCTGAAATGTAACCAGTTAGTACTCAGTTGTCCCTTTCCGGGAGCAGCCTGGAGTCTCAGTTATCTTGCCTAGAGGATGTGAACTCTAACCTCCAGCCTCAGTTTCAGCTACACTGGGAGCTTGGGTGGGTGCGATTGCCTTCCCTATGGCAGGGTGAAGCTGAATCTGCTCCCAGACCTTTCCTTGACCTGTAATGCAGAGGCAGTCAGGCCCAGTGCAGCCACAGGTTGCTCCGAAGATTACCAGACAGGTAGCTGCTCATTTCTAATGCCAGGGTTTAGGGAATGTTGTTCTGAGTGAGGGGCCCTGGCAGGCAGGCATCCTGCTGATAGGAACTCTTACACTTTCCCGCAGAACCCTGGCAGGACAGGCCTCTTACATGATCTTGCTCAATTTCTCCAGTAATTACTTCAATATTTTTGTATCCAGTTTGAGAGGAAACTCTAGCAATTGGTCAGACATGAATTGTAGTAATAACAGGGACTTTTTTTAAAGCAGAAAATTGAATTCCTTTGGACTTGATGATGGTTGTCTGGAAAGCAGACTAGTCCTATAAAATGAAGTCAAATCTTTGTCCTGCTGCTAAGTGCATGTATAGAGTTCCTAAGTGTCTCTCGTGTGTTAAATGATGTTGTCCATGCTTAATTCAAAGGGTTATTTTTAGGACTAAATGAGATTGTGTGTGTTAAGTACGTGACCAATAGGACTTGCGACTTGAAGTTTTATTTCTCAGACTCCCACGGAGAGTCTGAGAAAAGAAGAACGAGTTCCCTTACCCTAGAGAGGCCAGACTTTGACCTTTTGTTTTTAATTGTTGCCTGGACTTTTTGCAGAAAGAAAGATAAATTAATTAGCGAAGTAAAATCCCCTACAGTTCATTAAATTAATGTCTGAGTATGGGCTTCTCGATGAAGACTGAGAGGCTGCTGGGGTGACTCACCTCTGTCTGGTAATGGCTTTGCCGGTCATCGGTGGCTGGTTGCTGGTGTCTCTGAGTTAACTCTGAATTGGGGTCTCAAAGGGACTTTTTGAGAGATAATGTTTTAGAGGGTGAGGAGAGAGGTGCTGGGTCCTTTCTAGCTTGGCTACCTTTGTGTGACAGGCATGGGTCCACGGTATTTAGGCGACTGGTTGAGGCCACCCCACAAAGTGAAGGTGGAGGGTTTTTCTTCATTTAATTGAGCCCTTAGGTTTGAGTGATTGGGTGTGGCTCCTGAAGGGGAAATTCCTGGCTGATAGGGGGCCTTGAGAAAGTTGAAAGACTCCCTGGGAGTGTGTGTGTGCGTGTGTTGGGGCGAGGGCGTCTGTTCAGCTGGGCAGGTGTCTACCAAAGCCCTTGTGGGGTGGTTTTGAGGTTGGTGGGAGAAAGCGTCCGTGGGTTTTAGAGCTGTGGCCTTTTCACTACTTACAGTTTCTTTCCACACTTGGCTCTTCTTTCTGGTGTCCAGGGGTCTGGACCAGGTGTGGCTGCTAGGTGGGGTGTAATGGGCATGCCCTTCCATGGAGGAGCCACGTTGGGCTGTTGACGGGTCTCTGATCTTTACTGGCTGTCAGAGCCTTGGGATTGACTTCAGATAGACTTGATTTGAATCCTGGCTCTGTCTACACTATCTGGGTGACATAGAGCAGGGTTCCATAGTAGGTCCTGTCCCAGGCACCCCCATGTGCTAGTGTGAGGCCTCCTGAATTGAGTGCTGCTGGGGGCTGGTGGGCCTTTCCTGAGGATGCCTGCAGTTCCCCAGGGAATTCTCCCAGGGAGATCAGACTTGTAGGTGGTGTCCCCTCAGTCCTCAGGGGCCAAGCAGCATCCACTCCACTGAACTGTGGCAATGAGGCTCCTTTTCCTGGCTGCCTGGGTGTTTGCCTGCAATGTAATCAGCCGGGGAGGAGCAACGGCTTTGCATTTTGTGTCGTTTCCCTCCACTCCCGCCGCCCACCCAGAATGTTATCTCTGCTCAGATTTGGCAAGCAGCTCAATGTGACTTGACTGGTGCCTGGTGCTGGCACTGCACCCAGAGAGAATCTGGGTAGGGGTGGGCAGCACCTCAGGTTGGACTGGTTAGGGGAGGCAGGGCTGACCTGAGTACTCTACTGGGGCCTGGGACTGTTAGTACAGTCCCCTCAAGAGTGCTTCGAGGCAGGAGGTGGTGCAGAGTATGAGGCTGCTTAATTTAAGCCCAAGAGGCTCCCCTCTTGTCCAGCTGTGCTGTGAGGAAGACTCTGATCTGCAGGTGGATACCAGAGAGTCATGGGCACCTGGGCCAGCAAATAGCAGCTGCAGGTAGCGAGTGCCCTGGGAGCCACTTGTCCATGAGCCATTTTCCCTGGCTTTTCTGCAGGCTGGTCCGCCAAGCCTCTGCCTCAGTTTGTGCCCTGGGGGAGACAAAGCATTGGCTGGGTCTCTGCAGGGCTCTCAGCTGGCTCTTAGGTGTTTCTCCGCCAGCACGCAGTCACCTCCCTCCTTTCCTGCATATGCACACATGTGGACATGAGCCCAGGACAGTGTGTACTTTGAGGATGTCTGTCCTGGCCTCTGCTCAGAAAGGGCTTTCTCTCCTCTTTGCAGGTGAGTGTTGGAACCTCATCACCTTCCAACTTGGGGTGAAGTCTCATCCTACAGGTTAAGGGAGGCACAAAGAGCCTCCCCTGTGTGTAGATCTTTAAGCTTTGGGAGGTTAGGTAAACTAGTTCTTTCAACCAGTTTTGTCCTGTTGCTTTTCTGGGGAAAATATTTATTGACATACACACAGGCATGCCTTCTTGTTCAATAATAGGCTGAGATTGAGCAATACCCTCCATGGCTATCTGGCTTTCTGATGGTAGCAGGAGTGATTCCTGTCTGTTTTAATTCCTCTCAGACTCTGAGCAAGTATGGCAGCCTTCACCTGATGAAGCAGGTGGAAGCTCCTTGGGGCACAGGGAGCAAGAACCAAATATAGGGTTGGACTCAAAAGCTGCCCCATCTTAGAGCCATGGCATCCCACGATGGGACTATCCAGTCTTCTGGCCCCCACCCCTCGTTGTGGAGAGTAGAAGGATCCTGCCTCAGTATACACAGCCAGGGAGGGGCCTGCTGGGGCTGAAACCCAGTCTCCTGCTCCTCCGCCTCGTGCTGTTTCTTGAGGCTATTGCCCAGTAGGCACCTAGTGAAGAGGCTCGGGGCAGCCTGATGTGGCCTAGAGATTGGGAAGATCCTGCTAGGTGTATCTGTGGGTCCCTTTGTAAGATCTTGTATGATGGCAACTTGCCCGATGTCCTTGATGGCTAAAGTATTTGTTTGGTCACTTAATTCATTCTTCCAAGAATGTGCCTGTCCTGTGCTTGCAGGGCACTAGAGCTACAGAGAGGAAGATGACAAAATGCCTCCTTTTTAGGAACTCACATTTGAAGCGGAGGAGCCATAATTAAGCTGTGCTGACGACATTTAAGGAAACGTGTGTGTATGTGTGTATTTGGTCTCTCCCTCACTGTAACCATCCTCCTTTCCTTCTTTTCTCCCTTAATTCTTTTTCTTACTTAGAAACTCAGAGTTGGTATCAAAATTCTCTAGTTCTAGATTTATTTTATTTAATTTTTACATTTTATTTTTCCTGATTTTATTTGATAGTGTGAAAATGTTTCTCTAATTTCTGAGGCCAAACATTAGCCTTGCTGGGTAATCTTTAACTTGCTGCTTTTAAATGACTATGATGAGACATTAGCAACCATATGGCTGGGCTTTATGGTCTTTGGATAGCAGCAGGGTAGGGATTCCCAGGCTGGGACTTGGCTAATTTATGGGTTGGAAAGGATGGGACAGTTGATGCCAAGGCAGTCCCAGCCCTTCTGTGGATTCTGCCCTATGGGCTTTCCAGACTATGGGAGCTCAGCAGGGTTCTGGGTGTCTGTGAAAAGGGCCCAGTCAACCTGTGACTTCTCCAGTCTCTCACCCAGTGCCTCCTGCCCCTTGTTCCCTGCTGAGTATTCCCTGCCTATTCCTGACAGGAAGCAGAGATTGAAATTCTGCTTGAATCCACAGCCACCTGGAAATTCCAGTTTTTCTCATCCAGTTAACTACCAATCCACTTTTCGTAGGACAAATGGTCTGCCTTTTCTGCTTAAATCTCTTGAGAGCCTGGCACTGTGGCCATTTTACATTTGCCTCTGGCTCTGCCCAGTGTGTTCACTGTAAAGGCTAGCCAGGAGACAGGAGTTAACAAGGTTTG